TTTTTCTATTTCGATGTCAAAAAAAAAAAAAAAACTATCCTCGAAGATTTCCTTGAGCCCCCCCCCCCCCCCACATTACATTTCATCCAGCTTCTTGGAGGGGGAGACCATATCTTTGCACTACTTACCTCTGCCTCACGTGTCTCCTTTACTCTCTGCTCTTCAACGGATTGAGCCAACAACCAGAACCCCGCCTCTTCTTCGATCTTAAGTCTCAAGTCAGATGCCAAACTTAACTTCCATTCAAACATGAAACAGTTTCTGTTCTTCCACAGGTACCAAACGATCCAAGGTATCTCATTCCTTATCTTGTTAGGAGTTTTCTTGTTCTTCATCAACTCCATTACATAGTAAAAGTTTGAGGAACATTAGAGAGAGCCCACACATTTATCGATATAGAGCAATCAAAGATAATGTGATTGATCGATTCTCCTTGATCGGGATTTGGATTTCTCTTTTAGGTATTATCCAGTATTCTTTCTGTTACAACGAGAGAGCGACTGAAAGAAAGAGGGTCGGGAGTTCCTTGATACAAACTTAACAGACTTTTATCGAATACCAAACATAAAATTTGTTCTTCTCTCCTGAAGAAACAGTAAACTGATAGGCATATGCTTATATACGAACCTAATTGAATGTATATATGTACTAATTAGTACTAACATAGTTTAATGTATGTTGTTTATAGGAAGACAGAGTAATTCAAGGTACCAAACAGATATTACTATATATCTGGACTTGAGTGAGGTTCGGAAGCACACGAAGCAGACAAAGCTATATTAATCTCCTTTCGACTCTTATATACTAGAGCTACAAGAGCTTTACTTTGCCAAGCCTAGTTAAGACCAGCTTGCCTCTCCCAGGTGAGATCAGCGGAGAACTCAGACAATGCGGATCTTGGATCTCCTTCAGCGATAGCCAAGTAATATAGGGCAGTTTCATCATCGACTTGCATGCTTCTCCTTAGAGATTCAATCAGCCTCCGCTTTCCATGGGGAGATGGAGTGGAGAGATGATTCAAACCAGATGCAGATTCTTCTCTCTTTGGTCCACCTTCGAGGTAAAGCACTGCTACTTCGCGTTTGGCGTGCTTGTCTACCTCAACGAAGCAGGTGGTGTTAACGAGAATTTCAGGATTGCTTATCGGAATAAGCAGTCTGTCTCTTGAGTAAATCCCATGGTCGCTCATCATGTTGTTTAGTCGCTTTATCTCCATAACCTACATCGTTCAAGTAAAATCTCAACTTATTAAGATCATCAATCTAGCCTTGGTACACAAAAGAAAAAACCATAGACGCTACAAAGTTTTAGAGCTACAGGCCATATAGGGGTGTGCTCAGGAAACTTATAAAGGAAAAAGTAATGAGCTGGTAAAAAGCTTTTCATGCCGAATATTATATAGCACTTTATGTTACACACTTCCTTCAGCCTAAATGTGCACGGTAAAAAGGCTGATGACAAACTTCTTAAGATAAAAATACATATATGACTCTCATAGCAGTCTCTAGCTAGGTGCATGTAACACAAATTAGTAAAATGCAGAGTAGATATACAAAGGAAAATTCAAATGAACTGTTTGTATTAAGTTTCTTCTGCATTACAGAAGCAGTACAAAATTCAAATGAACTGTTTGTATAAGTTTCTTCTGCATTAGACATCTTAGATAAGGAAAGCATTTAGCTTCCAGAGTATTTTTAAACTAAATTAGTCAAAAGATAGCTCACAATTTCTAAATAATCTATTATCTTCTTTTTTTCGTCACAAAAGATACAAATAAACCACTGATACATTGTAAATCCACAAGCAATTTCCACAGGTTCTAACAATACAAGTTTGAAATTAAATCTTAGTATGAATTCATGCAATTATCAAAGGGAAAAGATTGGATTCACTAGCAGAGTAACAGCTAAATCGAAGAGATCCAAAAATGAGATTAACGTTATCCTCATAATGAAGAGGAAAGAGGTGTACCTGAACGGAATACTTAACGGCGAGGCTAGTGACGCTATCACCACGACTGATCCGATGAGAGATGGCGAATTTCCAGATTCCGTTATCTCTCCAGAACGCGCCTGAAGCCGGTTTCCCCACAAGTTCCTTGATCCCCCATGGCGCTATGAAAGCAAACGCCACCAGATCGTTCTCTGTGGCGACGGAGTTCCAAACTCTGCAAACGCAGCTCGCACGCGCTAGATCGGCCACGGTGAGTCTCTGGAAGATAAGGCGTAGTGTGTCACGGCATGAAAGTGCCATTAAGTGAGAATTCAGCGGCGCTGGTTGATTGATCGGGAGAGAAGATTCGGCCAGAAAATCGTTGCTGTCGTTTTGATCGCAGCAACAGCAATCCAAGCGTGGAAGGTTTATGTCCACACTTTTTTTTTTTTTTTAACATCAACTTCATTTATTTATAGGGCTTATTAGCTAGATAGCCATATATCACATATAAATTAAGAAACTAGACATGATTTTGACATAATGCATTGTCAGACTTTTTATCTTCATTCCAGTCGGTTATACCCTTAAAAGGAAGAGATTGCAGGTTCTATATTATAAAGTGACTGATGTGTTCAGTTTTTGTGATATAATAATAACCACATAAGTTACATAGCGCGTGGAAGATATGCATTCAAAGACATATGCTGTAAGATATATATTCATAAATTTACGTAGTCTACATAAAATAGTATAACTATCACTGTACTTCTAGTTGAACATAATACAACATAAATTTTTTTTCTATTCTACATGTCGAATATGACATAGAAATCTTGACATAGTAAATGCAAATAAGATGCATGTCCATTCCATGTAAAACACATGAAATAGAAACAAGACCTATGTAATTTTGCATAATAAACGTGATATCAATCAAGTTAAATATTATCAAACCTAACTTTTGAATACTAAACCCTAAATTGTTATCATTAAATGCAAACCTCAACCTCAACCATCCAATTACTAAACCCTAAATCCTAATCATTAAACTCTAAACCCAAGTATATACTCTAAATCCAAATAGAATGGAACAAAATACATAGAATAGTAAATATTGATGAGCAAAATAGAACACTATTTATTAATCATCAAATGGAACGATACATGATAAGATCACTAAACCCAAATCTCAACCTCAACCATTCAAATACTAGTCCAATGTAACCCCAATCTTCCATAAACTAAACTCAAGCCATTAATTACTAAACCATGTATGAAATTATATGCTAGTAAATAAGTAACATATGCAATTAAAATCGTACCATCTGATATAATATAGAATTTAAATATATGGAACAGAACATATGGTCAGGCAGAATGGAAAGCGAATAGTATATTATTTCTGATATGATTCTTCATAAATAGCAGAGAAATGAAATGACACGTAACCAGTCTCTAAAATCAAGCTTTTCCATTTCAAATATCACAAGTGCTTTTCCATTTCAATAGCACAGGTTCAAATACCTTTGTCTGAATGAAGACCATATTACAAGTGACCCTAAACCCAAATAGAATGAAAGAAAATACATAGAATAGTATATATTGGTGAGTAAAACATAACACTCATTATTAATCATCAAATGAAACGATACATGATATGGTCATTAAACTCAAACCTCAACCCCCACCTTCCAAATACTAAACCCTAAATCATAATCACTAAACCCTAAACCCTAAACCCAAGTATAATCATAAACCCAAATAAGATGGAACGAAATAGATAGAATAGTACATATTGGTGAACAAGTTTAAACACTCTTTATTAATCATCAAATGGAACAATACATGATAGCGTCACTAAACCCAAACCTCAACCCCCCCTTCCAAATACTAAACCCTAAATTCTAACCACTAAACCCTAAACCCAAACATAGACCTTAAACCGAAGTAGAACGAAACAAAATAGATAGACAACATCATATGAATATCATTCCATTCAACATCACATTTTATTCTGTTTCATTTGATGTCATAATAAATGCTATTTTTTTTACCTCCAATGTTAAACCAGACTTAACTTTTGAATACTAAACCCTAAGCTACTTTACTAAACCCAAACCTCAACCCCTCTCTTTCCAAATAATAAACCCTAAATCCTAATCACTAAACCCTATACCTAAATATAGACCCTAAACCCAAATAGAATGGAAAAATACATAGAATAGTACATATTGGTAAGTAAAACAGAACACTCATTATTAATCATCAAATTAAACGATAATGATACAGTCATTAAACTCAAACCTCAACCCCCACCTTCCAAATACTAAACCCTAAATCATAATCACTAAACCCTAAACCCAAGTATAAATCATAAACCCAAATAGAATGGAACGAAATAGATAAAATAGTACATATTAGTGAACAAATTTAAACACTCTTTATTAATCATCAAATGGAACAATACATGATAGGGTCATTAAACCCAAACCTCAACCCCCCCTCCAAATACTAAACCCTAAATCCTAACCATTAAACCATAAACCCAAATATAGACCATAAACCCAAATAGAACGAAACATAATAGATAGACACTATCATATGAATGTCATTCCATTCAACATCACATTTTATTCTATTTCCTTTGATGTCATAATAAATGCTATTCTTTTTACGTCCAATATATTGTTTCGCTTTACAAAATCATATACACACTAATATAAAACACATATATATGTACTGATACAAAACTTATATCAATAAAACATGAAACAACAAAAACAAGATTGAACCCTCTTCCAGTTCTCTTCCCTCGCACAAGACCTTAGTCTTTTCATGTCGGTAAAAGTCAACTATTACACCACAACTGAGTCCATGCCAAACTGAAGAACAAAGTAAGAGGGAAACATGGTTATAAATATGTCTCAAACAATCTACTTGAAGGCCTAATTCTTCTTTAGTAAACTTGAAAAACAAAGTAAGATGAAAACATGGTTATAACAGAGTAATCCATTGTATTTTATATAGAAATGAACTTTTTATAATTCAAACATTACAATGGTGAAGAACGGTAGTGTATTCAATACATATCATGCAACTTTATCTCAAATAGAATAGTTTATCAATCTATTCTATCTCAAATAGAATAGTTGGAACATATAATATTTTCTATTCTATTTCAAATAAAATATGCATAAAAGATCTCACGCAGATAAGTTGTATTGCAGCTGCTTCAATACAACAAACGAAATTGACCATAATGCAACGTTATTCCACACAGTAAATTAAATTAGTATACTGTGTAATTCATATATCGAAGAAAACACAGTTATAATGTACAAAACACAGTGAGTAAACCATAAACTATACTATTCAAATAGAAGAGAAAACACAATCAAATGGAAGCGCATCCAAGCCAAATAGAATAGAAAGTGAATTTGCACAGACAAAGAGACGGTGAAGAGAATCTACGGAAAACAATGAGAATTTATGAGAGTTTCAGAGACCTAATTCCCATAACAAAGTAGAAATATAATTGACAATAAAACGACATGAAGAGAAGAAACTAGAGATCAAAATTTTACAAATATCTTGTTATAGATTTGATGATAGCATAACGAGGCAAAAAAAAGATCCAGTGAAAATAACCAAAACAGAGCACCACAACTTAGAGATGTTTGAAGGATCGCCGTCAAATCACCTCACCGCCTCTCCTATTTCGACGTCTTCTTCCGTGACCGACCACATCTTTAAGAATAGTTTTATCTTCCGTAAAAATTCTCCATGAATGCATCTGGAGCATAGACTCGTACAAATCTGAGAAGAAATCTATTCATATTTCCTAATTTTAATAAATAAAATATTATTTGGAGAATGTATATGAAAGTAATCAAGGCCACGTTTTTCTTTTACAATCATTAATCATAATTCTTTTTTTTATCTTTACTGGTTTCACCGGTTGAACAAAGGGTATTATGGCAATATTATAGGAAAGACACGCGATGTATTGATGTATTAGGAAAATTGGCTACAGAGTGAATTATACTTTTTTGTCTGTCCATACAGTCCAATTTCCCTTATTTATATTGATCGAGCACTAATATAATCTTTCATGAAGAAGATTAGTAACAATTATTGGTACATAATCGTGATAATGAAAAGCAGCCATATTTGGCAATATAGACTTAGCTAATATATCGCTGGTTTATTTGATGTTCTTCCAACCCATTGAAACTTGAGATCATGAAATCTTGTTGCCCACCATCTTATATCTCGTATCCAATTAAAAGCCCCAAAGTGAAGTATCTTGCCGTTAATACTATCTATAGCTTTCCTTGAGTCATTTTCTATTATGACACTTGTATATCCTTTAATCCAGCAGTGTTGAATAGCCATTAGAATACCTTGAAGTTCACTCTCGAGAGCTGTACTAACCCTTCTTCCTCGTGCTTGAACCGCCCCTTGATAAACACCATCTTCATTACGATATATCCACCCAGCCGTAGCTTCTGTTTCATTGTTTCTGAAAGACCCATCTACATTACATTTAATTCTTCCTTGTGGTGGCAACGTCCATTTTTGTGAAGTTCTATAGCTTCGAGTCTGACGTGTTGTGGATATATCATCACCCTTTACCTCTATATCCTTCCATTCTTGTGCATCACCTTTAGCATATCTGATCACTCTCCTCCAATGCATGATTTTCTTTTGAAATAAGAGTTTGTTTCTACTTTTCCAGAGATTCCATAGTAGCCATACTGGTAGATTTTGAAAATGTTCAAGTCTTGTTGTATTGACAAAATCAAAACAGACCTTGATCTTTTCTTCTAAAGAAGCATTAACATCATTGAATACCGGATGTACTATGCCTGACGCTCGCCACATCTGTTTTGCATATTGACAGTTAAAGAATAGATGATCTTCAGTTTCTTCCTCTAACCAGCACCTTTTGCAGATTGTATCTTGTGTGACATGTCGTCGTCGAAGATTGTTACCCGTTGGAAGACATCTTGATAACAGTTTCCATAAGAAATGTTGTACCTTTGTTGGCGTTTTAGTCTTCCAAACTCTTTGCTTTAGTGAAATATCACCAACAGTCGGAGGAACAAAATTTTGATTTGGCAAATGCATTGCTAACCAGTAGCCCGACTTCACCGTGTAGATTCCGTCTTCATTATAATGCCACCCAAATAGGTCTTTCTTCGCTGTGGATGTAATCTTCAATGCTAGAATTCTTTCTACATCTTCTTCCAGCACATCAGCTCGTAGTTTCTCTATATTCCAATCACGACCGTTCTCATTCAAATAACTATCAACTCGAGCATCAATATCTATCATGTCCATTGGAGTAGGTGGTCTTGGCGGATGCAGGGGAAGCCAGGGATCCATCCACATTTTCGTATAGGAACCATCTCCAATAACAAATCTC